GAGTCATCACCTGGTGAGCCCAGAGTTGAGTCGCTCCCCTCCTCCGTAAATCCCCAGTCCCTGGATGACCTCCACACCCCTTCCTGTTACGCCAGTGACTACACACTACACGGTGCTCAGGGGGAGTTACGGCTTGTGCCCCTGTGGGGAAGGCTCCTGCCAAGTGGGCGCCGAGTGTGGTGAGGGATCAGTGACATGGCAGACACCTCCCTGGAAACTGGGATGCGAAGGCTCCAATCCACCCCCGTCTGCGGGGTCAGCGGTCAGGCTGGGTCCTTGTAGGCCCAGGGGGCTCTGAAGCACACCCAACTGTGAGAGCTGACATCCCCACGAATGCCAGACGGGGTGGAGTACTGTCCCAGGGACACCTGCTGCCCAAGGGCCCAGCAAGGCTAAGGACAGAGTGCTAGGGGTGAGGTCTCTCCTGACTGGACCTTCAGGGTGGTGCTGGTCTTGAGTGACAGTGGGGCCAGCGGCCACGCTCGGCCACCAGGGCAGCTCTTCTGGAGCACAGCACACCTCAGATAGCGGGGAGGGCACACAGCTCTTCAGAGGCAGCTGGAGAATGATGATTCAGAGCGTGGGATGAGAAGGGATGAGGTCCTAGCGTGTTCTGCTGGTGTGCAGGGCTGACGGGAGGAGCACACCTCCCAGCCTCCACCAGCACTGACCTGAGTGGGGCACTGCATGGCACGGCCAACAAGCCGGCAGTCTGGTCCTGAGCCAAGGCCACTGGTTGGAGTCGGCGCAGGTCCTGTGCCACCCAGAGCCCCTATCTACTGCCTAAAGGTCAGCAAGGTAAGAACTGGCTCGGAATCCACCTTGTGCTTCCACCATGTGCATGAGTGGGAGGAGCAGGGGCAGCCACACTGGTCAGCACAGGAGAAGGCGGCCTCCAGCCTTCTGCACTGGAGTTTGGGGGCTCGCCGCACTCCCTCCTCCCAGAAGCCAGGTGCAGCCTGGGGCACAGCAGTGGGGCTGCCCCACCCGCACCCCTGCCTGAGCTGTTTGGATATCCTGAGCCGGAGCCAAGGCAGGTAAGTGAGGGGAGACAGCAAGGCCCATCTTAAGGACTGCTGCAAAGCACAAGACACAGATGGGGTGGGCAACGCGTCACTGTGCAGTGAATTCTCACCACTGGTAACCTTAGGGTCAGGCCACCGGAAGCCACCGTGGGAGGGCGGGAGTCTCGTTATAAAACTTCTCTAGCTCCAGGCCTGAGTTGGTTTTCAGCCCACCAGGGCCCACTGTCCCGGAGCCCCGAGGTCACAGGGCCCTTCACAGCTCATGGGCTCTGCCCAGCCCCACGTGTGGCACTGTGGGCTGGCATTTCACATGGCGCCTTTCCCTATGGGGATCTGGAGGGTGAGCTGCATTCTCCCCCCGCCCCGCTGTCCCCCACGAGGTCACTCAGCCTCCCTAGGCCTCACTGGCTGCCTCAGCTGGTAGGTGGCTCACACCGAGTCCCAGAAAGGGACACCGTTTTGCTGTGTTTTTATGCAGGGATCCCAGGCCTGGGAAGGGCAGGGCGTGCCTGGGAAGGGCAGGGCATGCCTGGGAAGGGCACAGCGTCCAAGACTGGGGGCCACAAAGAAGCGCCATGCCGGCCATGGCTGGCTGTTGGTGTAGAGCAGCACGCTATTTAGTCACGCAGCTTAATCTAGTATTCATACAAAATACAGATTATAGACTTATAGATGAAAAGGAATTTGAATGATGTTTACTTATTTCTACTTTATGCATTTGCTTTTGCTTTTTATGTTATAAGACTGTGAGAAGAGTCTTGCACTGTGAGAAGAGTGTTGCATGGTCTCCCAGATTTCCTTCCCTTTCCCTTTCCCTTTCCCTTTCCCTTTCCCTTTCCCTTTCCCTTTCCCTTTCCCTTTCCCTTTCTTGCTTGCTTTTGGCAGCACTGGGCTTGGACTCAGGGCCTTCATACTGCCCTTCTTGTATTTTCTAAATTTTGAGATGGGTCTCGGGCTTGTGGCTGGCTTGCAGCCCCCGGCCCAGGTCTGGGGCACAGGACTGTGGGTGTGCCGCCACACGCCCTGCTCGGAACCCCCTTTCAATGCACGTCCCTCATTCTTATCCTCCCAGAAACGTCTCTCACTGACGCTCACGGTGATAGCTGGGCATCAGGGAGCTTGCAGGACCACAGCGCGTCACCCAACCACGCTTCTCGCCATGCTAGCCGGAGCACACACCCCCTCAGCAGCAGGTGTGTGGACCCTCGGCCTCCGCTCGCGCTGCCCTGAAGAGTGACCCTACGTACCTCCAGCCCAGTCCCGGGCCACACTTGGGTGCCCGAGTCACACCGCAGGGCTGCCCACACGGGGGCCTGGCAGCTTCAGGTCAGGGCTCAGCACCCCGCCTCCCCGCGGGCACGTCACTCAGGGGCTGGCCGAGTCCTCCCACGTGGATCCCTCTTCTCCCGGCGCGGTGCACAGCCACAGTACTACAATACTAACTATACTAACTTGGAGCCTTTGCGCATTCGCTCCCGTGACCCTGCTTCGGAAAGCAGCAGGCCACGTTCTTTCTTCAACACAGCGTGGCCTCAGCCCATTCTTCTGTTGGCATTCGTTCAGTGTTCAGCTGCTAGTGAAGAGATGACTCAGGGACCATTCAGACTAATTCTCCAGCAGACTTGGCCATACTGTGGAACTACATTCACCTACTACCAGGAAAGTGCTGTCCAGGAATGCCCCAGAGAAACGACTCCTAGCTATTACTGCAAGGGGTAGGGAGTTGTCTCAGTCACTTTTCTCATTGAGACAAAACACCTGACACCCAAAGTTAAAGGAGGGCAGGTCGACTTCCGCTCACGACTGCAGAGGTTTCAATCCCTATTTGGCTGGCTCCGAGGCAGGCTGGCAGGGCGGAAGGGAATCAGGAGGAGAAGCAGTCCATGGCTGGGCAGGCAGGGAGCGGCCAGCAGCAGCAGCGGCCTTCTTTCTGTCCACTCACATCCCATCCAGGCTCAGGCTTTTGGCCAGCACCACCCACACCCAGACTGTGGGTCCCACTAGCCACACAAAATCACACACTTCCTACAACACACATCTCATCCAGCCAGCTTGGGAAAGCCCCACCTATGTCAGCATGAGCCTTGGGGGACACCTGGCACCAGCCACAGGTTCACCTTGGTCTTCCTAAGTAACAGAGAGAAGCCCGCCTGGTGGTGACAGCCTGACAGGGATGTCCAGGCGGCAGCTGTCTGCTCAGGCCCTTCATGGATCCCTGCCTCTGCAAAGGCAGTCGGGCTGCTCTGCCCAGTCTCCGGGGTGCTCAGCGGCTGGATCCCCCACACCAGCCAGGGTCCTTCCAGGGACCCTACGCTGGCCCCAAGCAGGGGAGCAGCCCCACTGCTCCCCGACTATTGCCTGAAGGTGTCTGATGCTGACCCGGAAGTGGATCTCTGAGCTGAGGCTGTTCCTATACAGCTACCTCAGCAGGAACCACCAGTGCAGCTCACCGCCGTTTCTCCTGGAGACCTTTCCTTACCATCCCTGAGAGCAGACTATGCTTTTCCAAGAGACAGGGCCAATGGGAGGGCCGGGCGAGGCTCACAGGTGGGCAGGCCTGGGCCTCAGACTCATGGTAAGGAGTTGAGCGCTCACGCCTCACTAGGGGTGGTGAAGATCGGCAGCGCTCCTGGCAGGCCGGCCTGCCCCAGTGTAGCACACTGCCTCCACACGCCCGCCCCGGTGCCCTCAACCCAGCCCTGGCAATGCTGCTCTGGAGACAGGAAGCTTGTAAAGGGGCAACTGAACAACGTGACACCCAGTCAGCGCTGACACTGACTGGCCTGCTCGTACGGGAGGGATCGAGACTCGCAGGCTCCAGCCCGGCAAGAGATCCTGCGTGAGGAAGAGGCGGGGGGCGGCTGGCTGCCGGCCACAGAACGTGGAGCGAGCCCTTCGGCCGGGCTGCTGCCCCTCAGGGCCCTGAGGAGATACTGCTGCTCACTGTGGGAGTCCGCAGGCAGCCCCCGGACCTGACGCAAGGTCTCAGGGCACGAAGCAAGCCAGGCGTGGTGGTGCACAGTCCTAGCCTCTGGAGGCTGAGCCTAGGCAACTTAGACCCTGCCTCCAAATAAAACATAACCCACGGCAGGGGCGTGGCACAGAGCAGAGGCCCGGGTTCGATGCCCAGGTTGACCAAAAGGAAGGTGCACATTTAAGCCAGGCTTCAGCTTTCCCTTGCTTCCTACTGTGTCTCATACGCAAATGTCAAGCGTGCAGTCTGGCCTTTCATCCTGCACCCACACCCTGCCCTGAGCATAGCCCGCGACCCTGCAGCCCTCATGCTTGCCCTCCTGGGCTCTCTGAGGTCAGCGGTGATGCTTGGTGCAGATGCTGGCTCGCAGCGTGGGCAGCACACAGGTGGCCCTCACAGCCTGGTGGGAAGGACTCCCAACCTGCCTCCCTCACGGCAGGGTCACGCTTGCACTCAGGACAGCAGAGATGCAGGAAAAGGTGACAGATCCCTTGGTTACCTTTGCCACACCACTAAGCTGCCTACCTCACCCCAAAGGCCCAGCATTTCCTAAGAGACCAGGAGATCAATGATTGACACCCACACAGAGCCTGCCTGTCCCCAGCGGCTCCTCCCCACCCAACTCCCTGCCCTGGGCTGCAGCGGCTCCTCCCCTGCCCCCAGCGGCTCCTCGGCCTCCCTTCACCCCAGGGCCACCGGCTCGCTTTCACAGCCTCTGTTCTCCATCCTCCAAGTTCCTCCTGCTCACTCCCAGCAGCCCCCTCTCCACCTAGGATGGGTCCTGCTCCCTTGTCACCCTCCTCTTAGTTTATCCTAAGGCTTGATGGGTAGAGACTGCTCCTCTAATTCCTTGTATGTCCCACAAAACTGCTGGCAGAGTTGCAAGTGCAGAGCAAGGCACCTTCCATCTGAAGAAGCAGAGACACCTAAGAGACATCTGGCTGATCAAAGTCGGTAACTAAATTCACGAAAACCGACCACACTGTTGAGATCCACATGACCGCTGCCGGCTGGCTTGGAATCAGAGCCCAGCTCTCAGGAGTCCCCACGTCTCTGTGCTTGGTGTCTGCTCAGACGCGCTTCTCATCGTGGGCGAGAAGTGGCAAGGCTCACCATCAGTGGCCAGGCGCCACCCCTGAAGCGGAAAGAGCTCGGCCGTGCGTGCTGGCCTCTCCCGAGCTCATGGGCAGGTCAGCGCTGTGAGCGCAGGTGGGTTTTGAGGATGATCAGCCCACTTGACAGCAGAGCAAGTGTACGTAAGCACATGCTCATGACCAGAGAGCATCTGGAGGCCCAGGAAACCGTTGTGCAGGCCACAGAGGGGCCAGGGAGGGGCCCACAAACCGCGGGACGCCTCCTTCCCCTTAGCCTACCTTTGCGAATCTTCGCATCAGGTGAGACAGTGCTTCAGGGTTAGGGCATTCCAGCTTCTTAATAATCTCAAAGCTCTGGTTCAGCTGAGCAAAGACGTCAACCACAGAGCAGGAGAAGAGTGCGTGGTCAGATGTCTGCTGGAACTGTGGGCAGGAGGCAAAGCCACCGCGAGGGTCACGTGGGTGCAGGGAGCGACTCCAGCCTTCCACACCCACAACCCGGCTCTCTGCACAAGCACTGCCTGCCTTTGCCCCTCACAGAACACTCGCTCACTTTCAAAGGGTCACCACCTTTCCTGGAGATCACAGTGGACCCGAGGCCATGGGAAGCCACTGCTAGCTGGCTTTCCACTGCTGAGTGTAGGCACGGTTCTTCCCTTGCTCTCCTTCCTCCTGTGCTGGGGAGAGTGCAAACTCCGAGCTGCTGGAAGGCAGCGGAGGCCCCGGCCCAGGCCTGGAGCCCTGGACCACTCCGGACCTGCAGGCCTTGGGCTGATCCAAGAAGGGACGCCCTTCAGGGCACAGGGAGATTGATTCTTTTTTTCTTTTTAAATTTAAGCAATTTCCTATGGCTCTGACCAGCCCTTGAGATTGTGTTAAGTTTATTTTGGGGAACTGAAAGCAATACGCCTCACACCTTCCCTTTAGCTGGCAGGTGGGCAGGGTGAGGACACCTGACCTTAAGGGACTTAAGGGACACACTCACTCCATCCTTTTTGTCTCTTCCCAGCGCTCCGTGCAGGAACTCCATGGACACGTCCTCGTTCTCATCCAGCCACTGCATGACGAAAGGCTCGAACCACCTAGAAGGGAATCATTGCCGTCACAGGGGCAGCACCCGCTTTCTTCTAGTGCGAGGGCAAGCTGGACCTGACAACCTCCCTGCATGCTCCATTCCCACTTTCGCTGCCGCAGAGATCTTACGATTTCCCTCTTCCCTCCACTCGCTCTCTTCCCGCTACCTCAGATGAGTGTGGCTCTGTGGCCTGCTCTGCGATTCCCTCTTCATTCTCCGGGGAAGTACAGACGCGGGCTGTGTGCACCAACGCCCTCCTTAACTGGTGCTGCTGAGTGGCTGCCCGTCACCCTGGCCCTGAGTCAGCCTCCCTCTCCCTTCTCAGCTCTGACTTACAGCCCGCCTTGTGAATGGGCGAGAGATGCTGGCTTCTGCTGCTGCACGGATGCCCAGGTGACCAGTGCCACTTACTGGCAAGGTCACCCCGTGGCACCCCGCCCTATGGAGCGCGGGTGTCTCTATGTGGGCCAGCCACACTGTGCCACGCCGGCTCTGAGCCAGGTTTTCTCACTGGCTGCTCTGTCAACACCACATACCTTCAGTGACTTATCTTTTTGAAAAGTCTTAGTAACCAATACCGTTCATTGTTCTCCAGCTTTTCGGGTTCCTCTCCATGCTTGCCTGGATATTCTTAGCCCTTTGCATCTTACAAGCACCTTTTATTTTTATTTTTTTTATTTTTTGTGGTACTGGGACCCAAACTCAGGACCCTGCTCTTGCAAGGCAGACATATAAGATCTTTTAACGAGCTTGCTAGTTTATACAAAAATAACCTCTAGAATTTTTAGCATTGCATATTTTAATTTTTGAGAACTATTACCTTTATACTAATTGATCTATTTAGGAACATTATACATTTTGTTCAGTCCATCTTAACCTTCAGTTAATATTGTTACAGTTACTTTTACAAATGGTTCCGCCCCGTGTTTCACCACGCCTGTTCTGGCAGCTTTACTGCCACCTGAATGCTGTGGCTCGTGTGTAAGTCTTTGTGGCTTTTGTACAGCGTGTAATAAGCTGATGCACACTGGTCACCTTCACTTTTAAAAATCAGCTTCCTTTGGGTTTCAGCGATACACTTGTCATATATGAATGAAGGAGAAGCATTATTTGTTCTTAAAAATCCTAATTTTCTTTTCTTTTCGTGCTGGGATGGACCCAGGGCTCCACGCCCCCTCGAGAAGCGCCCTGCAAGCCCGCTCTGCGGTCACTTTCCTGGCTCACTGCGCTGGTTACGGCTGCAACGTGATGCGTGAGACGGGTCTCGCGTTCTATCTTAAAGGGAAGCTCTTAAATTTTTCCAATAAGTATGATACTTAAGAAAGCTTATCGTTGCTGTTTTGAGGAGTCTTTTATTGCATTAAGATAATATCCTATTTTGAAGACATTTTCTAACGAACTGACATTTTATCTTATCAAATTATTATTCTGTGTTTAGTGAAATGATCACAGGGATTGTTCTCCATTATTCTTTAAATGCAGGGCTTGCAGTGATTTTTAACTAACGCAGTATCCCAGGGCCTCTCTTTGCCGTGCTGATGTCATATCGGCCTTTCACAATTTACTGGTCTGCGCAGAAAGCAGGAGGATCACTATGAGTCCGATCTGTGTAGTGAGACCCTGCAGACCCTGTACTAAATCCATAAAAAAATCAATAGGGTTGTTCAGATTTTATATTTTTATGTCAACTTAATATGTTCTATTTCAAAATGAACTTACATATTTTATATACATTTCTAAATGTACTGGGACACTTTCTTACCTTTTTATTTTTTAATTTTTTACCTTTTTATTATTATAGGATCATTATTATGTCCCTTCCCAGTATTGGTGATTTGGGAAATTCTCACCCGACACTGGCCTTGCTATATTTTTTAAAACTTTATTAGTCTTTAACAATTAAGGAAAAAAACGCTTTTGACTATGTTTTGTATTTTTACAAAACACAGCGTGCCGGACAGCGGGCTGCACCACCCTGGCTTGCATGTGTGTCCCGTGCTGTGCTCACGGCAGTCCATGTTGGCTATTTTATTTCATCTACTTGCTTATAATGTAATTTGATGATTTCGAAGTTTCTTCTAATACTTACTAGCTTACTGTCCTTTTTTCCTTTCAGATACATGAAATTAAAGCTACACATTTCCCTGTTTTCTGTATTCTGCAAAATGTGCCAGGTTCCATTGTTTCCGTTTTCAGAGTATTCTGGAATTTGGATCATGCAAAGTGGCTTATGTGTGATATTTGCACTTGGGGAGACCCAGGCAGGAGGACTGCAAGTTCAAGCCTAGCACAGGCAACTTAGGGACACTCAGACCCTGTCTCAAAACATTTTTAAGTCGAAGGGCGAGGTATGTCGCTCAGTGCAGGGCCTGGCTTCCACCCCAGAACCAAAAGCTTTCTTCCTCTTCCTGTTTCTGCACTGGGACTTACCAATCCTTCGCTCTCATGTTTGGGTGAATATCGTCCTTGAGCCCAACACACTGTAAGGCTTTCCGGCTCTTCGGCAGAGCTAGCTTCACACGGTGAAGGCACCACCAGGTACCTTCTCGCATGCCTCCTGCTTCCGCTCCATGGAGCCTGCGAATGGTGCCTTTGTGGCCTGCAGCACTTGCGCCAAGGTCGACTCTCCCGTTGCCTCCTTGTGCCCAGCGCAGCCCTGCGCTGCTCGCCGACAGGGCGCACTCTGGGGAGCACAGGGCAGCACACGCGTGCGAGCCAGGACGGCGCAGCCCTGCCATGTGATTCACTGCCTGCTGCTGACTGCAGTGCCGTCGCGAGGTGCAGGGCTGGGCGGCTGTGCTCCCGCGCCTGCTCCAGTCCCTGCTTCTGTACACCTCGGTCCTCGGTCCTCAGTCCTGTCCGCACTCTGACTCCCCAACCCATCTTCCAGTTTCGGGTGCCCCTCCTGTATCTGTCACCCTCATCTATTTCATCTCACTGAGCTATCATTGTCCCAGTTCTATAATTTCCATTTCAGTCTTCTTTTAGGCCGAACATTTCTGTTAATATTCTCCAGATAATTTTGTTTTATGTTTTTTGAGGCAAGGCCTCACTGTGTGACTTGAGCTGGACTTCAGTTCGCTCTGTAGCCCAGACTGGCCTCAGACTTACCCTCCTGCCTCAGCCTCCCAAGCGCTGGGATTACAGGTGTGCACCACCATGCCTGGTGCGAGCATTGTGAGGTCTGTGTCTGGTTCCAGCCATTGTGTCCTGTCGCTTGTAGCACCTGATAGGCAATTATAAGTTAACTATGAAAAATAGGACCTGCTGATGACCATTTCCTCCAGAGGGGTCTGCAGTTTTCTTTGCAGATAGAATTCAGGAAAGCACCTTGATCTAGGCAAGGTTGGGCTTCAGGCTGTTCTGTTTCCAGTGCAAATGGCCTCTTTCTGGTTTCCCCTCATTTTTCCAGCAGAGCCCTGCAGGCCTACAGTGCTAAAGTGGTCCTTCTTGTCTACTAAGAGCTGGCTTCTAGTTTGTATGTCTGGACACTGTGCTGCTGCTGAAGTTCCCTTGGTTCTAGCTCTCTTCGTGCCTGCTTTCTGCTTCAGGTTTTCTGCTCTGGTCTCCACACTAAGGCAGACCAGGAATCAGAAATTGCCTCCAGGGAAAAGCATGTGGCTACAGTGTGTATCTGCCAGTCTCCAGACCCGATCTGACTGGGACCTGGGTCCACAAGTCCAGGGGGCCTTCGGGGCCCTGCAAACTGATACTGTCCCTCCAGCCTGGGAGTGGCTGCGAGCTGGTGTGAGTGTGAGCTGGTGTAGGTACAAGCTGGCGTGAGAATGAGCTGGTAAGTGTGAACTGGTGTGAGTGCGAGCTTGTGAAGGCACAAGATGGAGTAGGTATGAGCTGATGTGGGTGAGAGCTGTTGTGAGTGCGAGATGGTGTGAGTGTGAGCTGGTAAGGGTGTGAATTGGTGTGATTGTGAACTGGCATGGGTGTGAGATAGTATGATACGAGCTGCTGTGGGTGTGAGATGGTGTAGGTGTGAGCTATTGTGTGAGCTGGTGTGGGTGCAAGCTGGTTCATGAGCTGGTGTGAGTGTGAGCTGAAATGAGTGTGAGCTGGTGTGAATGTAAATTGGTATGAGCTAATGTAGGTGAGAGCAGGTATGGGTGTGATATGGTGTGAGTATGAGCTGCTGTGGGTATGAGCTATTGTGTGAGCTGGTGTGGGTGCAAGCTGGTGTGAGTGTGCGCTGCTGAGTGTGAGCCGGCATGTGAGTTGGTATGTGAGCTGGTATGTGTGATATGGCATGGGTGTGAGCTGGTGTGAGTGTGTAAGCGAGCTTGTGGGGTGCAAGCAGTTGTGATTGTGAGCTGGTGTGGGTGTGAGCTGGTGTGTGAGTTGGTGAGTGTGAACTGGTGTTTGAGTTGGTGTGTGAGCTGGTATGTTAGTTGGCATAAGTATGAGCTGGTGTGGGTGTGAGCTGGTGTGAGTGTGAGCTGGTGTTTGAGTTGGCGTGTGAGCTGCTGTGTGAGTTGGTGTGAATGTGAGCTGGTGTGTGAGCTCATGTGGGTGTGATCTGGTGTGGGTGCAAGCTGTTGTGATTATGAACAGGTATGGCTGTGAGCTGGTGTGAGCGTGGGCTGGTGTGAGTTGGTATAAGTGTGAGCTGGTATGGGCATGAGCTGGTGTGAGTGCAAGCCTGTGTGGGTGTGAGCCAGTGTGGGCGTGAACTGGAGTGCCAGCTGGTATGATTGTGAGCTGGTGTGAGTGTGAGCTGGTGTGTGAGCTGATGTGAGTATAAGCTGGTGTGAGTGTGAGCTAGTGTGTGAGTTAGTGTGAATGTGAGCTGGTGTGGGTTCGATCTGGTGTAGGTTCGATCTGGTGTAGGTTCAATCTGGTGTGGGTGCGGAGCTGGTATGGGATGCAAGCTGTTCTGATTGTGAACTGGTGTGAGTGTGAACTGGTATGAGTGTGTGCTGGTATGTGAGTTGGTATAAGTGTGAGCTGGTGTGGGTGCAAGTTGGTGTGAGTGTGAGCTGGTGTAAGTGTGAGTTAGTGTGTGAGTTGCTTTGTGAGCTGGTGTGGGTGCGAGCTGGTGTGGGTGTGAGCTTGTGTGGGTGTGAGCCAGTGTGGGTGCAAACTGGTGTGAGTGCCAGCTGGTGTGACTGTGAGCTGGTGTGTGAGTTGGTTTGTGAGCTGGTGTGGGTGCTTGCTGGTGTGAGAGATGGTGTGGGTGTGAGCCGGTGTGGGTGAGAGCCAATGTGGGTGTGAGCCAGTGAGTAGGAGCTGGTACAGGTGCAAGCTGGTGCAGGTGCAAGCTGGTGTGAGTGTGAGCTGGTGGTCCCTGCCAGCCCCAACAGCGTTTGGTGCTACGAATTGCCAAAGCACCAAGGGAGGGGGCGGGGTGGGGTAGCCATGGGGCCCTGTGCAGCAGGCGCTCGCAGGGACCCCAACTTCTCAGTTCCTGGCTGCCTGGCCTGCTCTCTGTGCTAATTCTCTTCAGCTTTTCCAGCTGCTCCTCAGTGAGCCCCTTGGTACACCTAGACAGAGCCAGGAGCACACGCCCGGCGAGGAGCACCCCCCCTCCCGCTCCGAGGCTGGGCCCCCCCAGCATGCAGCCCAGGCTGCACCTCCCCTCATCCCATCCTCCTGTGTGTCCAGCACGTGCTGCAGTACTGTCCTCAGAACGCCTCTCCCACCCACTTCTCCTCCTACTGTGTTGCCCGTGTGGTCCCGCGGTGGGCCTGGGGTCTTACACACACTCGGCAGGTCCTCCACCTGGAGCTACATCAGCTTATGTACCTCAAGTGATTTTAATTGACGAACGTGTAGATCCTTGCTCTACACAACACATTTGGACTTATACACACTGTGGAATAGCTAAATTGTGTACGTGACGTGCCACCTACTTCGGACTTCTTGTGAGAACACGCAGAATTGACTCTTCGCAATTTCCAAGAATGCAACACACTTCACTTGCGAAGGCGGCCATGCTGTGCCCCAAGGCCCTGGGTTTATGCCCTCCGTGTAATGGATGCCTTGTGTCCTCTGGCCAGTAACTCCGTCCCTTTCTGCTTTGATGCCTTTCTTGGCCCCCTCCTTTTCTGTCCTGGCATGTCCAGGAGCAAGGCTGTAGGAAGCTGCTGTGTCTCCGTGACGTTGCTCAAGAACTGTGAAATCTCTGACGCCTCTGTCTCTCTGGGGCCTGACAGACATGTGGCCAGCTTCTCAGCGTCTGTTGAAAATCATCCAGTCCAGAACCATTAATTCTATGTCACCTTGTACTGGTTTTGCAAAATCGCCTTGGACCTACTAGACAAGCGCTGCTACCGTGGCCGTCACCTGCGTGCCCAGCTACACTGCGTCGGCACACTCAGAACTTTTACTTGCATCCTGCTTTTCTCCTTTCCGCTCTCTCTTGCCATGAGCAGAGTAGATTGTGACATTCAGTGCTGCACCATCTGTGGGTGCTCTGTGGAGCCCCAGGGTGACGTCCCTCTTCTGTGCGACCCTGCTTACTGCATTGTGCTCGTGTTCCTGAAGTCAACACTGCGTCTCTGGAGGGGACCGCAGACCCACGGGGGCACACGCCACCACAGCTAAGACAGACTGTGACTGCAGTTGTGCTCTGAAGAGGTGAGTTACAAACGAAAATGTTCCTGGTAAAGTAATGATATCTATTTCAGAAATGTGAGTCTCTGAGACAGTGAGAGGTTGAAATTAAAGGGACTGTCAGATTATACCGGCCAACATGCAAATTCCCTCATTAGGATAAGCCCGCTGCACCCTAGCACTCTGCACGCAAGAATCTCATAAGTGAGCCACATCCTGTCTGTATTTCCGCATGTGGGTTGAATGTCCAAGTAAGGCAAACTTGAAAACTCCGGCACAGTTAGCCACAGCTCCCAGGGACGCGAGGACCCTGCTGCGCCATGGATTCTGCGATGGGAACGCCACTTTCAAGAGAACACTGTGTGAGGAGACCAAAGTGCTGCACACAGTGGCTGCAATTTCATGAAGCTGAACTGAGAGCAAATGGGGGCGAGCTCTACTCACAGGGAGTACTCGGGCACCGCGTCCTTGAAGGCAGGAAGCTCGCGCACGTACTCATTATAAAACCATTTCACTTTGAAGTGCAAATTCATATAGTCGGTGCTCTTGCACAACCGCTGCTTCTCGTGTTCTAGAACAGATAAAATCAAGCAATTAACAGAGTCTGACTGGCCAGTGGTGCCGCTGTACTCCAATCTACTTCCATCATTAGTATTTCTAAAAAGAAAAAGGCAGAGGAGAGGTGAAGGCAAGGAGAATTCACTGCAAGAGAGACCTGAAATTTACACAGTGCAAAACTAACCCTTGGCCTCACAGGGCAGGGAGCGTCCAGCAGCCCCCAGAGGTGACTGAGTGCTTCCACGTCCTTCTGGAGAAGCCGAGTTCTGGTGTAGCTGAAGAGTGACACACACAGAAAGCTTCCTGTTTGTCAGCCAACCCAGGCTGTCCTGTGTTGTCCACTTTGGCCTGACACCACGTGGAAGGATTAAGCCCTGAGCCATGGAGAGCACACGGTCACCATAGGAGCCCCAAGCCGGCTAACGCAGGGTGTGAGGCAGGTGCGCCCCTTTTCTAGCTGATTATTTAACACCTGAAGGGTGAAGAGAGCTGAAAGA